CATATGATTAATACTCTTTTTAGTAGTGTTGTCAACTGTGCCAAAGGTCTAGACCAGTGTTCGAAATTAGTGCCATGAGAACGCTATTTAATTATTACAAATAGTTAAAATATTAGTCTGTATTTAAAAAATATTAATGATAGAGTATACTTTATACAGTATTACACACGTAAGATAAATGAGGTATTGTGACGAATCGCAATATCTCGTGATCATGTGATCAGAATCGAGTGAAACTTACACCATTCAATTTCTCTCGAAGAGAGCAATCGAATGGTATAAGTTTCATTCGATTTTGATTTCCGGATCGTGAGATATTAAAGCATAACAGTTGCAAAAAAAGGTGTGATTTTCGTGGCAATGATATGATCAGTTTCGCATTACCGACTATGCAATGAGCTAAAAATATAAATCTATATTAGACTTTGGCAGAGTCGATAGCGTAATTTACATGCTGCGGCTGTGAAACCAGGGTCGGGTCATGAATGTAATATATAAAAAGTATTTCCAAAGAAAAATTCACAAATCTAAATATAGAATCTTTGAATGCGCTTTCAAAAAAATTTTTTTTCTAGGAAGCGAATGACGTAAGCTAATTGGTTAATCACGTAAATGAAACGACTAGAATAATCAATGAAACATTCTATTTCTCACATTATGGAATTTTCCGTTGACAACACGAATTTGTCATAATATTGGGAACAAAGTTGAAGCATTTATCGATTTCCTGTACTGTACATGCACCTTTTAAAATATACTATATCAATGTAGGTTAGAGCGGAATTTTTTGTTATCGCAATTGTCAAAAAAAAGGCGTTGCATCTAATTTTATCCCCGTGACGACATTGGTCAGTTAGTTGGTACAACGTAAATAAATTCCAAAAACGCGTCTAATCTGGTTTTGCAACTTGATTTTAGTACAGGATACTTTTCAAAAGGAAAATTCGGGTACATATTATTTACATGCTAAAGGCAATCCATAGTCTATCCGAAATTCTAAATTCGTAATTTTTCCGAAATTACATAGAAGTTTTACGCCTCGTGGATTACCTATTTAAGTAACTTTAAAAAAAAACCCAATGTTAAATGATAAACAAAAATTTTCATTCAAATATACAAATATAGAATTGTGTGATACACGTACCGTATGAGAAAGAAATTTCGCGTTTTTATTAATCACGGGGAGTTTGCAGACGGAAATTACACATTTCGCATTCCTGGTATCATGATATTTACATTTTACTTAGTTCTAATGGAACTAATGTAGGCGTAATTGCATGCTGCAATATATTCTTTTTGGTTATTATTAAACTTACTTTATATTTAATATTGGAAATGAATTATTATTTTTTTTTTATTTAAACACCAGCGAACAGTTCAATTTTTTGAAAACTCGAAAAAAATGAGTACACCATCAACAGAATCACCACAAGAAGGATCAAATAATTCACCACAACACGAAAATTCCGAAGAAAATGAAACTAAAGTTTCGTTGGAAGATAAATATTACAATAGTCAGCTAAAAAAAGAATTTAACAATTGGAGCAATCTTCAATCTTCACTTAATAAATATTTTATTGTTTATGTTACAGCTTGTATTACCTCAATTACGATTGGAATTGTGTTTTCAATTTCAGATAACAATACTATGGGATCTTTAAGTAAAAAAATTATTTCAGTTGTTATTTCTGGATTGGGGGGCACAGTAACTCTTTTGGGAGGTCTATTGTCGTTTAAGAATCTTTTTGCTAAGAATCAATCAGATACTGTTGATAATTTGAACAAAGAAGAACAAAAATTAGATATTCCTTGGCCACTTGCACTTAAAGATAGCGATTTTAAGAAAAACAAACTAGTTAAAATGTTTAAACATGAAAAAGAATTTAGAACACCATTATATTTCATGAAAATGTTGGCTGAAAATACAAAAACTACATTGATTTTTGTGGCTATATGGAATATTATATTTTCATGCCTTATAATTTATGTGAATGTATATTCTATTATTATTACCGCATCAGGTGAAGACAATGATGATTATAGAACTTTAATAAAATGGCTCTTTGTATGTCCTATAACTAGTGTAGCCTTTGCTTTTGTATACGCATATCAAATTAAGATAAATGTTCCTAATATAGTGGAAGAGGAAGAGAAAGAAGATTTACATTTTAAAGATAAAATTCCTTTAAGAATGTTAGTTGTAACAAAAAACAGAGAAAAAAACAAATGTTGTGAATTGTGTGAATGTTGTAATTTCTTTATATGTTGTGAATGTTGCGGTACCTTTATACATTATTGTATCTTTATTTGGATGATATTTTTGGGGATAATTTTCGGGTTAATTTTGGGACTAATTTTTGGACTAGTTTCATTTACATCATACGAGAAAGATAAGGATAAGAAAATTTGGCGTAGAGTAACAGTAACGATAAACAGAATTGAATTAAATCAAGTAGAGATGGCGGCAATTGAACGTATTCTTCAAGGCTTGACGACAACAACTCCAACAACTCCAACAGATCAAAATGACTAGAAATTTGATCCGATAAAGATCTTTTAATTTTTTTCAATTTTGTTTAACTGTCGTGTTATATAAAAAAGGTAGAATTTTGATATTTTCAAATTATATATAAAATTAATTTTGTAGTCATTATATCAAACAAGTTTTCTAAAGAAAATAAAATAACTGTGCGATATTAGGGTGATTAGGTCGTGGTTGCCACGGGGATTTTGTAAGAGTTTTATTTTAAAATCTTTACTGAAATTTGTAAATTTGCATATATATTTTATAACATTTTATAACTTTATACGTATATGTGAATAAAATAGAATTTTTATTTAGTTAAGCATGGTTTAATAGTATTTTTGGCACGTACGTACGTATTAATAGTATCAACGTATAGACGTATAGTAATAATGGAAATTTGATATTTAATTCTCAAAACTTTTCGTGAAATTGGCATATACGAATAAGAAATTAATGAGAGATAAATATAGCATAAGTACTGTACTACGTAGTTGATCGCTTATTCAACACAAAAAGATAAAAATTTTTTTGTGTAATGAAATTGTCACGTATTAAAAAAAATTGTATACCAATAAAATTATATTTTTTAAAAAAAACTTATTAAGAAAATATTAAAAATTTGAAAAATTTTAAAAGTGTTCTAAATAACCTTATTACACTATTTTCAATATGTTTAATTCCAAGGTTATTTGTGAGTTAAAGAATGTTGGACTTAAATTTTATAGTAAATTTATATGTTCTTATTATAAACTAAAACTCAATATTATTCTCTAGCTAATAGAATAATCGGAATCGGTAGCCAATTATTGAATTAACAATATCTTGCGCTTTATAGGCTTAGTGAACAAATGTCGGAAACAAAGTATGTCTTGTAAAATACAATATTTTCGTCGGTTTCATTTGACAGTCAACCAGACTTTGCCTGCCTTGTCTACTTCGAATTTTCGTACGAGTGGCAAAGCTTTTCTCTTGTTTGCAAGTCAACGAAGAATGGTTGGTTGCCAAAGGTCAGAATATCGTGTCTTTTTTTTTTGAATTCTTCGAAATACGAATTGGGTTCATAGTATTTCTGCTATTCTTGTCTTTATTACAGTCCTAAGCCCAAAAAGTCAGCATTTATACCAGAACTGGAGATAAAGTTACTTAATTTAAAATTCGTGTTCAAAACATGAACAATATTTTCAGTTTTTTCTGAATCTTTACAATGGTGAACGAAGGCCAAAATATGTTGATATTTTCCATTCTTTAGGAACCGTGGACGAATTAAATTCTAATGATCCAAGTAGGAAATTATTATATTGTAGTTTTTTTTTTAAACTATTTTTACTTTACATTAGTCAAAAGATGGTAAATCGGACACAAATCAGATAACAATCGGATTGTCTGATTTAATTAAATTTACTCATCAATCAGAAAAAAATTTACATAAATCGGGTATCAATCAGAGGTATCCAGAAAATATATACCAGATTAGTATGCTATTAGCTGAGTGCCACAAAGTGAAAACCTGGAAGTGTTGATTTTTTCCAAAATTAATTTTACAGAAACGGGCTTACAGACACATGACAGAATTTATTAGGATTTATTATAATTCATCAGGCCGTTTCTGAAAATAAAACTTCTGAAAATCAAGAATTCCAGGTTTTTGCTTTCAGCACTTATATTAGTACTTTTTTATCTTTTCACTAATATTGAAATATAAGCAAATTGTTTTAGTCATATTAACTTAATAAAATTGTTTAATCTACATATTAATGTTTATTTAGACTACACATAAAATCATATACTTATTTATATACATTAATTTAAAGAATGACAAGGTACTTGGATATACTGTAGATTAGAAAAGTTTATTAAGGTACGTGTATAAGCTCATTTAATTATAGTTAGCAAAACTCAATATAATCATTCGTTAATACCATGCTGTTTACTATTTTGCATCGAGTTCAGATATCCAGAAAATATTTCTTAGTTTGAAACCTTTCACCACGCCCAAAGCAACATATCTTTTAATCAGCATATATCATTCTTGCCAATTCTGATAACAAACAGATGCTTTTTAATTCCATGATGATAATATCTAACCTATCATGTTTCTTTAATATCTTTCACTTTTCCAATTTTTTATAATAAAATAAATGCTTTTTATTTATCTCCAGTTCCATGTTAATAACAATATCTATAGATGGGGTGAAATTATATAATTTCTACAATAAAAATTGTTAAAATAATTTTACCAAAGATTTTTTAAAAATGAAATGTGAATTAAATTTCAACTATTGAAATTTGTTGAAATGTAGAAATTAATTTATTATATAAAATTATATAAAAAATTGAAATTAATTCTTAAACCAAAATATATTTTAGAAATACAGTATATTAGATCATATAAAGTTAATTTTTTTGGTTCTCATAATATAAACCAAAAAAATGACCCACCCACCCAAACTTTTATTTAAAATTTTTTTTTAAAATTATAAAATTAAAATTTTATTTTTATAATAATAGAAATTTGGTTAAATCTATAATAATAATGATAATAGTAAGAATTCCTGTTTTACAGATTTTGTATATAAAAAAATAAAACTGGCTCCAACTAGGTACAAGACTGGATAGACTGTTAGACTAATTTAATATATTATTATCTGTTTATTATTATAGACACTATTCAAATTATCAATTTATTACATAAAAGCTACCTCTAAATTAAAGATGACTCATTATCTATTTTTCTATTTAAAATTTAACAGATATTCCAGATATCTGGATTTTTTATAATAATTTTATTAGCATGCACATAAATTTTAAGAATCATGCACATGATTTTGTAGAAATTTTTTAATGTATTATACCTTGTACTGTAAGTATATCCAGACAATCTTTAAATAATTAACAATATAAAAAAGACATGTTATTATAATAAAATTAAGATTATCTAAAAAAAACAATTAAAATTTATTATCATTGTCTAAGCATCTAAAAAACTTTAGTGTTCTATACATTTTTACCAATCATTTTTTTTTTATGTAAAGAATAAGGCTCAATTTACATTCTTAATTTATTTCAATTATCAATTTATTTTAATGTTAAAAATGTAAGTTTTGATGGCTGTGGAAATAAATTTGATCCTCTGAACCGTATAAAAGCTCAGTGATATTATAAATTTGAATATTTTTATAGCATTTACCGGGTTTATCACGATGACCAATCATAAAGCAGATCATATGAAATGATTTTAAAATAAATATATTTTAGAAATTATGGAAGATCTAGATAATTGGATGACAAAATTATATAGTAAGAGGGTGAAATATATATTTTAAAAAAACGCCATACTGATCTCGTTATCAAAAGAAGTCGCTACTACAATTTATATGATTCGTCATCATGACAGTCAAAATAAAAAATAATACCCAACTAATAGTTTTGTTATCTGTTGAATCCCTAATAAAGTCCCAAATAGCAAACTAACTTATCTTAACCACATATTGTAGTATTAGAATAGTAAGTTTTTGTAATAAAATTGTTTATATAACTCATAATAAAAATCATAACAATTCCAATGCAAATTACCTCAAATTTAATGCATATAATCAGTGAGTAAGTTATGCAACAGGATTTTGTTTGCAGTAGCTTACAATAGAATCATGATCATTCTTTATCATATTTAGAATAGTGAATAAATTCTATAACAGAATTTTTTTAATAGTTTATGAATAAATCACATTAATTTAAAT